AAGGTTTTGCAGTCTACATATTTATATTTGTGCTCCTTCCAAATTGAGCCTAAAGATGTATTTGATACCATGTTAAGTATAAAAGGTGTTTCAACCTAGAACACTTTTAGGTTGAAATAGTAACAGTACCAAACGCAACCTAAATTGGTTCGAAGTGTGATAACTAAGCTTGATAACCTGTCTAAGGCAATTGACTTTGAGAAATCGTGGGAGGCTTCCTCTTAATTACTATATGAGATATAATGGCCCATGAGGCCATGATGTCCCTTCGATCAAGAAAGCATTGAACACTAAGAAAAAAGAAATGTTATTGATCACTATGTAGTAGCATTAAGAAGATGATTCCAATATGTCAGCATGACCTAAGGCCATGTTTGGTTTGAAGAAAAAGATAAGGAAAGAAAGGGAAAGGTAGGGAAACCTATATCAGCATTAAGAAAATGATTTCAATATGTCAACATGACCTTGTATAGGTTTCCCTACCTTTCCCTTCCTTTCCCTTCATTTTCCTTCAAACCAAACATAACCTAAAGGTTTTGATCTTCAGTACAATTTCTTCAGCTCTGAAAAAAAAAAGATGAATGAGTTGAGAGGACCTCACCAGAAGAAATATATCTATTTATTATTATTATTATTATTATTTTTTAAAGAGATAACAATATGGAGGAAGGAGAAGTATTTTAGGATAAGAGTGCCATCATGGTTGCGTGTCATCATATAATGCTGAGATGTATTGATGTTGAGGTGGATTTATAGACAAATCAAATGCAAGATCAGATGATGATGATGACAACGACGACGACGACAACGATGAGGTCGTATAGAGGACATGCATACCACATGGTGGACTGGGGGCCCAATGCTTGATTTCATGTACATCTCTCAATTTTATGGGCAGAGACAGCAGCAGGAATAAGCAACCAATTCTTTAGCAAGATATTTAGGATCCGTTTGGTTTACATTCGGAATTGGAATCAGAATCTGAATGGTCTATTCTTTTCATATATTTGGTTCAGGTTGGAATTGGAATTGGCTGAAATGCATTTTCATTCCCGGGTGAAGGGAGGGAATGGCTCTTCCCTCAAATGGGGGAATGTCATTCCACTAAAAATGGGATTGAGATTCCAATCCTGTCCAACCAAACAGTTGGAATTGACCATTCCCGTTCAGATTCCAAATGCCTATTCCCACAAACAAATGGACCGTTAGTTCTATAGAGATTAAGGGCAAGTAGATGGAATCACATAAGAAACCAACCCGAGTTGATCCAGAAGGCTGGCAGGTTGGGCTGGTTCAACTGGACTGTTAGCAAGGCAAAATAAAAGACTGTAATGAAGCTTGTATAACCTAGAGCCTGTTTGAGAGGGATGAGCTGAAGATTCAGATAAGCTAGTTCAGCTGTTTTGAAGCACTCTAGATAAGCTATTACAGAGACCGAAATGGACAACCCTAAAAGTGACTGACGAACAGTTGATACTCTATAGATCTTTGCCCAAACATAACTTATAGGCTGTCTGTATGGGGCCTACCTTGGAAATTAATTAAGCAAAATTGGGCTTTTTAGATCTTCGGCCAAACAGGCACCTATTTAAGCAAATTTTTGCTTTTCTGGTTCAACTATGATATCGGAAAAACTTGTAACAAGTAGGGGTGGCAATTTTTCACCCAACCCGCTA